TCCGAATTGAAAACAAATTGTATTTTTGGAATCAGACTGTCAAAACTAGAATTTTGACGTAATCAAAATATTTTTCTGAGAACTATTATTTTTCTCAGTGTCTGGGTCTGTCTCAGTCATAATTTAATATAATAATATGAATGAGATAAAAATATATGAATTAAATCCAAATGATAAATATGATATTGTCAAGTGTCAAAATTATGATTTCTAATCTGATGAAATCACTTTTGAATTTAGTTTATTTTATGGGTCAAAGTTACAAATTTTACTATTTAAAATTGACATAACTTGAAATCTACAAATCAGATTGGTTTATAAAATGTACCGTTGGATTCGTCTCTTCGAGATATATCCATAAATATAACTTTTTTAACAAAAAGTCATTATTTTGAAAATCCATTTATTTTTAGTCAAACGTACAAATATTCCTTATTGGATAAAAACTACTTTTGTTTTATAATAAATTTTAGGCCATATTTTGTGGCGTTACACGTCGGCCATTGGATCCATCATGTATGCGATGGTATGTACGAGACCTGATGTCGCCTTTGCTCTGAGTGTCACGAGTAGATACCAGTCCAATCCTGGCGAAAGCCATTGGACGGATGTGAAGAACATCCTTAAATACTTCCGTAGGACTAAGGATGCCTTCCTGGTATATGGCGGAAAAGAAGAGCTCAGTATTGTTGGATATACTGATGCCAGCTTCCAAACTGATAGAGATGACTTCAAGTCGCAGGCAGGGTATGTGTTTTGTTTGAATGGCGGAGCTGTTACCTTGAAGAGTTACAAGCAAGATACTACCGCTGATTCCACTACAGAAGCAGAGTACATGGCTGCAGCCGAGGCAGCCAAGGAAGGTGTGTGGCTCAAGAATTTTATTACTGAGCTTGGAGTGGTTCCTAGCATCAAGAACCCTATACCGTTGTTTTGCGACAACAATGGGGCAATTGCACAAGCAAAAGAACCTCGGTCTCACCAGAAGACCAAACACATCGTTAGACGTTATCACATCATACGAGAAATCGTTGCACGTGGGGACGTTGAGATTTGCAAGATAGGTACAGACGACAATATCGCGGATCCGTTGACGAAGGCTTTGGGAAAGCCTAAACACGAGAGTCATACGTGGTCCATGGGCATTCGAGAAATGCTTGATTGGCCTTAGGGCAAGTGGGAGATTGTTGTATTTAGGTGCCCTAGCGGCAATCAAATACCTATGTAACTGTACACTTTATCATGAATGAAAGGCCTTGAAGTATGTTTTATATCTCGTGTAACATAACATAGCTTCAGTCCATAGACGATAGCGCTTCAGTAACATAGATGAGGACTACGATGTTCTGATTATGAGACTGTTACTTCTTGACGAAGGCT